GTGTGTGTGTGTGTTTTCCAGGTGTACTTGCCCTGTGTGCTGCAGACAAAGAAGCGCTATGTGGGCTACATGTACGAGAGCCTTGACCAAAAGGAGCCTGTGTTTGACGCCAAAGGGATCGAGACGGTGCGGCGCGACGGCTGCCCTGCTGTTTCCAAGGTAACAGGCAAACCGACAACCCCCCGTCTCACTGTGCTCTACACCAATCACAGCCACACCAGCTTTCCTCCCGCTCTCGTTCACTCAGACTGCTTCACATGTGTCAATCAGGGGAAAGGGCCCTGCCTGCTCGGGGACGTGGCTGGTTTTGTGTCTAGACCCTGAAATGTCCCAGTGTTAACCGTTGCAATCCTGTTTAAATATCATGGGATTAAACTCTCATTTGTGCTTTTATTATATTTTAAATTATTTTTTTATTTTATAGTATTGTTTGTTCTGTCCTCCCCAGATTCTGGAGCGTTCCATTAAGCTGCTGTTTGAGACTCGGGACATCAGCCAGGTGAAGCAGTTCGTGCAGCGTCAGTGTGTCAAAGTTCTGGACGGCCGGGCCAGCATGCAGGACCTGACCTTCGCCAAGGAGTACCGGGGCAGTGGCTCGTACCGGCCCGGAGCCTGCGTGCCTGCCCTGGAGCTCACCAGGTGTGTGTGTGTGTGCGCAGCAGAGAGCAGGAGAGTGAGAAAGAGCTTGCTGTCAACAGTTACAGTAGTCAGTGTGAATCCAATTACTTCTTCCCACAGTGCTCATTGTCTGGCTGCACTAGCCTCAATGTACAGTACCTGAGTCTGTTGCTAGGCAACCAAGCTTCAGAGGGAAATATTGAGGCTCATTCATGAGCACTGGTACAGTTTATGTCATGAGTTGTTTCTGGATTTCTGGTGTGAATGATTGGACAGGTTTTACAGTAATTTCCAGTAGAAGAGGTCAAACTAAAAGCTCGGAGCTCCAACAGTTAGGATGAAGGTTTTGTGTTTTCTTTCCTCTCAGGAGGATGATGGCGTACGACCGTCGACTGGAGCCGCGCGTGGGTGAGCGGGTGCCCTACGTGGTTGTATACGGAATGCCTGGTGTGCCCCTCATTCAGCTGGTGCGACGGCCCATGGAGGTGCTGCAGGACCCGAGCCTCCGCCTCAACGCCACCTATTACATCACCAAGCAGATTCTGCCGCCATTGGCGCGCATGTTCCAGCTGATCGGAGTGGACGTGTTCAGCTGGTACCAGGAGCTCCCCCGGGTGAGACTAACAGGAGTTTCCATTTCATGACAGGAAATGAGCAGCCATTATGGTTTTTATCTCAACTCTGCAGATGAGTGGGGGTGATAATTCACATAGCACCCACATGAAAACCTTCAGAATAAAAGTAGGCAAAAGGAGCATAAATGACTAATTAATAAACATCCCATAATAACCATAACCATATGTTTGACTGATAACTGTCAGTTTTTTACTGTTGAACACAATAGAAAGAGGACTGGTTCGTGTCAAAATAAAAGGTTTCACTCAGTGCATTTAGTGGAGAGAGAGAACAAAGGAGGAAGAGAAAATCTCTCCCGTGCTTCCTGCTGAGGATCGAATGAGATTCATCAAACGGCAGCGCTGCTGCCTCAGTCTTTGTATCAACACTGAAGTCAGCTACTAGTCTCACAGAGCACACACGCCACCTGCTGGTGGAGCTGAAAGCAGAGTTTCAAATGATGAATGACCATACAGCATTGTGTGAATGAAGCAGCTACGCCCACATAGCGAAACTGGTCCATCCCAGTCACAGTCCACAGGTGGTCCGGATCGGGTAGCCACATATGGTCCATGACACTGCCACATCTCAACTGTATGACCATAGCTGGCCCTATTCTGGCTCTAAGTCAGACAGGTTTCAGCACTGGCTCCAGAACTGAACCATGACACTTAATTAATACACACAGTCGCCATATGTAGCCCAGAGGATCAACTATGACAGTATTATTATTATAATATTATAAATATTCGATTTTTCACATCATGCCATTTGCAAAACTGGATGTAACTGTAAAATGTCAATCTCTTTTCCTCCCCTCCTTTCTTCCTCCCATGTTTTACAATTTAATCCAACTTTTCAGTCATAAGGCTGCGGTTATCTTCTCCTACATAATCCTGACAATGTTTTAGGACAATGAAATACATTCTGGGGGATTGTCAGCCCTTTGAAGAGTTTTCATGGATAATTTCTCGTCTCTGCACACAGATCCAGAAGGCGTCCTGCTCCTCGGTGATGGGTGGAGAGGAAGGGGGGAGGAAGGGAACCATTTCCCAGTACTTCACCACGCTTCACTGCCCCGTGTGCGACGAGCTGACCCAGCTGGGCGTGTGCTCACGGTGCCGCGCAGAGCCCCAGCGAGTCGCAGTTACACTCTACCAGGACATGAGACAGTGGGAGAGTCAGCAAGACCAGCTGCTGAAGGTGAGAGACTGCTGGCTCACATAGTTGTGATGTTTATCTTGTTTTCAGTTCACAAACTTTTTCATTCTCCTCATAACAAAAAACATACATGTATGATATCAATAGTAATGTTTTATATGGCAAATGTCTATACTAAACTGTATATTCCCACATTCACTGTCCCTGTTTGGCAATCATTTCCTTCTTGTAACTATAAAGACCAAAATCTGATAATCAGACCAGACTTTGACCCAGTCGCCATGGGTTGGTTCAGATGGTCATATAGATAAAGCACCATTAAACCAGTGGTTTCACTCTGAGCTGGAAGGGTAGGGAAACATAGATCAAATACTTTTCACATCTTTTCTAAAGCTTTGGTTTCTAACCTGGGGTCCTGACCTCCACTAGAAGTCTCTAAAACCTCACAGGGGGTTGTAAGGCCAGAGACAGTAAACTGATTGTATAAAAAGTATAAAGAATATCTCTGATGTAATATTTACATGAAAATAATCTTATAGCACTTAGTAGTTATTGTGTTCATTGTACAGTTTATCAGCTGTTCTCTACTGTTGTTATGCATT